TACCGAGGCTATCCTAAGAGGCAAGGCTGGGCATGAGCCAGTCAGGTCTATTTGTTATGAGTCACCGCCGCAAATTTAATGCAGAGAATGTGACACATCCTCATCATCTGGTCTAACCAAACCCTCCAATGATATTTACTGTGTTCCAGGAAGTACTATGCCAAACTTGCCAATCTACCAGGTTTGGGTTCAGAAGTAGATCTTCTCAAGCAATCTAAGATCCCTTGTTACCAGGCGCTATTATTGAAGGCCAGAATAGACCTCTTAACCTTGGGATCTACTAGTCAAAGAGAACTCTTGAAGTGGTTTTCCCTGGCAGAATATGGCTGGTTCAAACGCTGTCGTACATGTAGACTGCGTTGTCCTCCGTAAATGACACAACGAGTTATAGTCCTCGGGCGTGTCGATCTCTCTTCTAATTGGTACTAAGCACTAACCGTTGGAGCTAACATTTATAAAAAGGAATTTCCAAGACTATGGCAGACGTTGAGTAGGCTATCCCAAGGTTCATAGATGAAGTATTATATGCTATTTTGGGATTTTGTTAATCAAGTCATCTGCTAATTAAATCACATAGCAAGTCCGAAGATTAGATTCTAATCGACACCAGAAGGATCACAGGGGAAAAAATGAATAAACCGATCAGAACCCCTGCAGAATCAGATTCTATACAATTCTACCAGCTGACTCCGAGTCTCCGTTTCCCGCTTTTTTTTTTCCTCCCCGAGCAGTTTCCCCCTCCCAAAACTCTTCAACTCCAACATCTTTGCCAATATACCAACTACAATGTCAGACCAAGAACAAGCTGCTGGCAAGAGAAAGCGTGCGAGTAAGTCTATGATTCGCTTCTTTTATGTTTTTCCCCCTTGCTTGATAGCAATAGCATCATTCAATTGGATCTTTTAATGTTTTCTCTCAACAAAACATTCAAATCACAATCCAACATCAATCTCCCAGAATCAATTCTAATTTGGCCCGTGTGATATGTCGCTGGGCACCGATCCTTTGGGATCTTATCCTAGTCACATCTGTCATCCTTTCCCCCTTCCCTTTGGTCCCCGCGTCCAAAATGCAATTTTGATCTTGATCCTGCAACATGTCTAACATCTCACTAGGGACCCAGTCATGCCCTCCTCCAGAGCTTCCCCAGCTGGTCGCCGAACAGCACATGCCAATTCCATCTCATGACAAGGACACTCAACGCTTGATTGTAGTTCTTTCCAATGCCAGTCTGGAAACCTACAAGGCTGTCTCCAGTGGACGCTCGGGGACCAAAGATGAGAAATTCTCTCTGTTGAACAGCGATGAGCACATTGGTATCATGCGCAAAATGAACCGCGATATTAGTGAAGCTCGACCAGATATTACCCACCAGGTACGATTCAACATCACCAGTGGCAATATAAAAAAAAAAGGTCAAAAGAATCCCCACTAACTCACCGTAGTGTTTACTCACTCTCCTCGATTCCCCCGTGAACAAGGCCGGTCGGCTCCAAATTTACATTCACACCGCCAAGGGTGTCTTGATCGAAGTCAATCCTTCCGTCCGCATCCCGAGAACCTTCAAGCGGTTCGCCGGTCTGATGGTCCAGTTGCTCCACCGACTCTCCATCCGTTCGACCAACTCGCAGGAAAAGCTCCTTAAGGTTATTAAGAATCCAATCACCGACCACCTGCCCCCCAACTGCCGCAAAGTGACCATGAGTTTCGAGGCGCCCGTGGTCCGCACCAAGGACTATCTCGAGTCGCTGAACCCCAACGAGAGTGTCGCCATCTTCGTTGGTGCTATGGCCAAGGGCCACGACGACTTTGCCGATTCCTTCAAGGACGAAACAATCAGTATCAGCAACTACAGTCTTAGTGCCAGTGTTGCCTGCAGCAAATTCTGCCACGCTGCCGAAGAGGTCTGGGATATTCTCTGAGAAATTTGACTGGGATCACAAACCACGAACGAAATTGCGCCCCGAGAGTGCGTGTTTTTTGTCGTTTGTACTGACGGCCCAATTGCCATCCCGATTTTTTTTTTTCACGGGAATTGATTTGCAGAACGAAGGGTATTCATATCTCTGCATATGTCTGTCCTGTGGAGTATTTCAGGCTGTTATTTGAGCCCAGTTCTCTCTACCTTTCTACATCTCTTTTGTTTTGGGGAATCCACTGGGAATCCTTGATACTGGGACATCTACCAAGCATCGGGATTCATCCCAAGGTTGTGGATTCAGAAGAAACTGGTTTCTTTCCCCCATACGTTACGGGTCGGATGGCATTTGGTTCCTTTTCGCCAGTCCTTGATCCATTCTTGCTTCCATCCATAGCTTCAACCTTGCTGTGATGTGTAGGCCCGAAAAAGAAAAAGTGAACAGCACATAGATCAGGGTCCATTTGGGATTTCTGAGACACATATCTTCAACTTCTGTATTCAATAAAATATGGCTCTTTTCTTTTTTCAAATAGGTTAGGAATTTTTCTTACCAAGGACATTCTTGTAAAAATCCAAAATCCTTTTGACGTGGCAGTTAGCGCCTCACTTTGGAATACGCGAATCAGAGCAAGGGTGGCGGATGCACCTCTGCCCATCTTGTATTTGGTATGTTGTAGATATTCGACGGAGGACGGAGTCCTCCGTACAGAATTATCATGGTCTTATTCTATAGGAATCTTGATTCTCTGGAAAGTCAGATGAAAAAGTACCATTTCAAAATTTTCAATGTACGTCTTGCATGACTCAACCCCCGTGGCGGTCAGCACATCTACCCAAGTCCTGGACTTTTCTTCTCTCCTCCACTCGAAAGTCTACCATTTGCTCGCACAAGGGAGAAGTAAGCAACCCCCCCCTCACTTAGCGTTGATAGGTACCTCAGTCCTCAGTCCAGAACAGACGCCTCATCCAACAGGAATCCACATTGGCTCCCCGCGATGACCTGGCAGGGACCCATCTGTACCCCTCCAGCCATAGAGCGTTTCGTTCTGCACAAATTTGGGCCCCTAGATATCCCAAAGCAGCCAGCAACATGAGCGGCCTCCGGTTTCACTACTGTGAGGTACTCCGTATGGAGTACGGACTGATTTTCTTCTCTCACCAAGTGCGCATGTTGTACGGAGGATTGGGGCCTTGAACTTGCACTTGGATTGTTTCAAGTTTCCCATGCAGACCAATTCCTCTGAGCATTGACTTGATCGGTTGGCCAATCGTCCCTGAACCCCACTCGCCCAACTACAAAGATCACACGTCCTCAAGTGTCCACCGTACTAGGGGACACGCGGTGTTCTGGCTCCTTTTCGCCAGCTTGGGCAGGATTTTCAAAGCGCCTAGTTGATTCTGTCTCTGTTTGTGGATTAGAGTCTCACGGTATTAATTCTGACTGGCTCTTGGGGAACTGTTCATGCGCGTTTCCTGGCGTCATAGTTCTGGCTATAAGACTTGGATTCCCTCACCGCATATATCTTTACCGATTCCATTCCATCTCTCTTTTTCTTTCCACCTTTGTTCATATCCCAATTCCTTTTTTTTTTAATATAACTCTTTGTGCTGGTAATCCAGGCACAACTTCAATCTTCATCATGCCCGTTTCGCATCTCACCCTGACCGTCTCTCACCTTCCGACCTCTACCGCTTTCTTTCTATCATGTTTACAGCCATTGGGATACCAATTCATTGGCAGACAGGACGACTATATAGGGTTCGGTCAGAAGCAGGGGGAACCTGCTGATTTCTGGATGACCGAGACTAAGCCTGGGTGAGCAGACAGAGAAACACTCAGTCGTTTCAACAAAGCTAACCCGAACCAAAGATGTCCTCCTGGTACAGTGCATATCGCCTTTCCAGCCCCGTCAAAAGACGCAGTCGGTTCGTTCTTCATAAGCGCCCTAAAATCGGGCGCGAAGATCCACGGCGAACCGAAGATGCGAGATTCGCAATCGGGGTACTTCAGTGCAGCCGTCATCGACCTCGACGGCAACAGCATTGAAGCTGTATACCGGCCCAGCAATGCCTCGCTTATCTCAGAGGCTAGTGGACCGACAATCGCTCTTCTGGAGAGTTCCAGCCGCTCTGTGGTCTCAAAGGCAAGCAGCAAAGCTAGCACAATTAAGACAGAGAGTATCGCACCCCCCAGGTCTGAGGCCATGTCCGAAGCCAGATCCGTCGCAAGGTCTGAGGCACGATCCGTGGCACGATCCGAGGCACGATCCGAGGCACGATCCGAGGCACGATCCGAGGCACGATCCGAGGCACGATCCGAGGCACGATCCGAGGCACGATCAGAGGCCAAGTCTCGTGCCGTTTCGAAAGCACCCACAAACTTCGAGCGGTCTGCACCAACAGTCGTCTCCCGCCAGTTCCAGGGCCCACCGTCATACATCATGCAAGCGCCCACACCGCCACAGAGCGACGACGGCAGCAAAGCAGCCAAGACCATCGTGGGCACGCTCATTGGCGCTGCCGCAGGTGCAGCCATCGCCTACGCAATGGTCAAGGGCGACTCCAAGTCAACAACCCAAGAACTCGAACAGCCACTGCAGCTCGCAAACAGCTTCCCCCAAATCAAAGCGGCGGCCCAATCCTTCTTCGGCAACGATGACCAACAATCCCAATACCGCGCCATCGAAGCACCCCCGCCACCACGCAGCGCCTACACCACCGCATCAAACCCGCGCTCAACCCTATCGTGCAGCGTATCCTCCAAGAACCCCCACGCCAGCACAATCTACGAAGGCAGCGAGTACATGCACGACAACCCCCGCCGCTCCTCAGAAGGCAGCATCTACAGCATCCCGGAAGACATCCCGCTCCGAGCAATCGAGTACCCACCCGCCAGCAACGCCTCCCAGCAACGTCACGCCTGCGCGCCCACAACCTTCATCAGCAGCTTCCACGACGAGAGGCCCCGCGCGCCAAGCAGTGTGCACAGCTCCTCGACTTTCAAAGCACCACAGAGCACACACCGAAATCACAGCCACGATGACCGCGACGGGTCCGAGTCAACTGTCTCTCATCGCTCGCACAAGAGCCAACAAAGCACGCACTCGTACCGCGCCGCCTCGGTACGCTCTTCCTCGCACGTCGGCAAGGACAATGCTAGCGTTGCATCCTCTTCCCGCTCTACGCGCAAAATCCCCCTCCCCGCTGGCTCAAGCGCTACATACTACTCCAGCCCGAGCGTTCACAGCAAGGAGGGCGGGAACTCGTATATGTCTGCAAGACATGTCCCGCTTCCTGAGAGCGTGGCGGATTTAGATGTTGACTCGGTGGTCTCGCCGGATGACTCGATTAGCCAGGTTGGATTGCATGGGCATCGGCATCGGTCGCATCGGTCGAAGAGTTCTAGGGCGGATGACCAGGCGGATGCGATGAGCCAGGCTTCTAGGGCTAGTCATAGGACTGTTAAGGCTGGGGAGGGGTCGAGGGCTGGGAGTCGACGGGGAAGTCAGGTTGCTTGATGATTGTGATGGTGATGTTCTTGATGCATCCTATTCCTTCTCTCTTCTTGGACTGCCATGGACTTGTTTTGAGTCTGGGTTTTTGGTTCAATCGGGGGATATTTCGACACGACAGATTGGATTTGATGAGTTTCTACTGTGAATTTTGTGATTTGCATTTGCACATATAGTTTTACATACATACATACATACATACATACATATGTGGAGTTGGGAGTAAGGCAATGGGAATGCATTATTTATGAGAGTCAGTGTTTGAAGTTACATAGGCTGGTTGATGCACCTATGATCACTCCAACACTACACGATGTACAAACTACAGTCTACATATATATCTTACGCTCATCAATACACAGACGAGCCTGCCTAGGTTGTGTTATTCCAAGGTAGAAAAAGATAGAAGCCCCTCAATGCAAGACACACGGCACATAGTAGGTGATCTCGAACTACTCTCTGAAGCCCTCCCAGCGTTATCCACCGAGCCCAAAGCCCTGCTTGGTACAAGCAAAAAACGCTAAAAAACTGATGAAAGCTCAGCAAAGTCCATATTTCAATCCTAGACGCATGCAGCGTTTGAAAAAGAGAAAAAAACGGATGCCATGAATGCATGAGAATTCGTCATAAGGATCGTTGGATATGAAAAGTCCCAGAAACTCAGCCCAACAAGACAAGGTCAAACCCGGCGCAAGTGAAGTTTTTAGGCACGGTAGCAGGAAGCAAACACGCGCAAGAACAGGTGCATTTGAAATTAACACACAGAGTTTGGGGTGAAAAAAACTGAAAACGGTTCTACGACCACATGTACGCCAGGCTTTCGCGGATTCTGAATCTAGAGCAGGAGGCAGAGAAAGCGGAAAGATGCAGAGCGACGTTTGAGATGACACCGATGAAAAGTGGTCGAGCGAGATAGGGGCCGCAAGGAGGATTATTGAGGGAGAGAGAGAGTAGAGCACAAGAAGCGAAGAAGGAATCAGATTGGTCGTTTCACTCAAATAGCGTACTTCCGCGTCCACTCGCGAGCTGTCGCCTCGTACCGCGGTCGGTCGGTCTTGTAGACGTGCGCGATTTCGGGCACAAGAGGATCGTCCGGGTTAGGGTCTGTAAGCATGGAGCAAATGGAGAGCAACACTGTAGGTTGTTAGAGATTGTGCGTAGTATGGAATAAAAGAAACGGTGCTGCTCACCTTTGGAGATAGTGAGAGCAGGGCTCCATTGGTCTCTCAGGATGTCCAGACAGATGCTGCCGTTGGAGTTGATGTTGGGGTGATAGATGCGGGTGGTGAAGTTGACCTTGGGAGGCTTGAAGGGGTAGTCGGTAGGGAAGTGAATGGCAAGGAAGAAGACACCGCCAGAGTATGGGGAGTCACCCTATACGAACTATTAGCATGATGAACCCGGCGATGAATCTCTAGACCTCGCAGATGGCCATATGGCCCCCAAGGTCCTCCAGAGCAGAGACGAGCACAACTTACAGGACCCATGATGGTCGCTTGCCAGTGGAACTGTAAGAAAAACACAAGTCAGTCATTCATAATCCCCTCACTGACATCAACCTGGTTCAACACCGGGGCGGTTGTGCCCCGCCACACGACGCCAACCACGAAAACAAGCATTCATACCAGATCATCTCCAACGGGGCCAGCGGAGCAGGAAGAGGGTGGATCCCTAGAAGAGGATTAGAGTCTTGAAGCGCAGATGGTGGCATCAGGATAGGCTTACCGGCCGAGGTCAGTGAGTTCCTTGTTAATACGCTTGAGAGCCATGACGAGCAAAGAGAAAAGTGTAGAAAGTGAAGAGCAACTGGGTAACGAATCGTCAGTTGTTGATTCTCAAGTGAAAGAGAAAGTAAGTCGACTTACGATTACGTCTTTGTGTGGAAAAGAAGAGGGAAGAAGATAATTGGGAGTCTTTGAGAGGGGGGGGGGGGGAAAAGTGCCCCCAGGTAGGCGGAATCGATTCTGTCGGTATTGTACGGCCTAATACGGTAATACCGGGCGCCACACTGTGATGACATGTCATGATTCAGCCTCCATTGAGGGTACCAGTTGTCATTTGAGGTATTGAAGAATAAGGCGGAAGCAGACAGAATTTTAGAAAGGAACAAATGTATTTCCCTGAATCAAATTTGATAGCTTCGTGAAAGAAGGTAAATCCCTCGATAAGGCTGAATCATCGAATTTGGTGGGGTTAGGCATATATAGGCATGTACACCGTACACAAGACACCAATTGCAGATATTTCAAATGTTCAGCCGAGTGAATGGAGAGCTGTATCTACATAGTAAACACTAATAATCATTCAATGATTCAGTGTTATATTTAAATCTCCTTCAACTTCAATATGCCTTTGTATTGAGAACCCGCATCACACCGCATGATACTGATACGCTGCCCCTCGATGATGTCACGTGCGGGTGAGGCGCCCGCAATTTCCCGCTTGTCCTAAAGAGGAAGGAAGTGTGCTTTTGATAGCGTGACCATATACTACTCAAGGCTACTTTGAGTATTCTGACTGGCTACTATCATATGCACAGAGGTACTTTTATACCTCTTTGAAACCATCGATTGGGGTATTTTCTATATACAAGAGTGTTCTTTCTATTTTTACGCAAAGGCCTGCTTGCCCGTAATGGCACGGCCCAGGATCAAAGCTATCGGAAACATGCATCAGCCTCGGTCCAACACATTGAGGCAGAAATAACTTACCATGGATATCACTTTGACCCTCGTAGGTTTGCACCACAAACAGGTTGGCCACATGGCGGGCAATGTGATACTCGTCACTGGCGGCATTGCCACCGAAGATTTCTTGCAGACTGTTGCCAACGTTAGTATTGCCAGTGTTGGTAAAGCAACCCCAAAAATCCCCAGGACAGAGAGACCTACATTCTGGAATTAGCCAGAGCACGGTCACAGTTCTGACGCTTAATCATCGAGATCATCTCCGGCGTAGCCTTGCCAGCATCCTTAAGACGAGCCACCTGAACCGCAGCCAGGGTGCCGTAAGCAGCATCCGTAGCAGCGTTAGCCAACTTCATCTGAATGAGCTGATACTTGGCAAGGGGATTGCCCTTGAACTGCTTGCGCTCCAGACTGTACTCGCGCGCACGGGCAAGACAATCCTCCAGGGCACCCATGGCACCAAAGGCAATTCCCAAGCGGGCACTGTTCAAGCACGTGAACGGACCTTTGAGGCCCTCGACCTCGGGCAGCAAATTCTCCGCCGGTACGGGGCAGTTATCCATATGGATCATACCAGTGATGGAAGCACGCAGGGCACTCTTATTTTTGATAGCTGGGGTCTCGTATGACCCGGGCGTCGCACGCTCACGCTCCACAATGAACCCACGGATCTTTCCCGTAGACTCGAGCTTAGCCCACACGAGCGCGATATCGGCGATGGGAGAGTTCGTGATCCAGGTCTTGCTGCCAGAGAGCAGATACATGCCTTTCTGGGTGGGATGCTCGCGGGCTACGGTCTCCATAGACCCAGGGTCAGAGCCGTGGTTGGGCTCCGTCAGACCGAAGCAGCCGGCAATTTTGCCCTTAGCGAGGCTAGGAAGGAAGCGCTGCTTTTGCTCCTCTGTGCCGAACTCGTAGATGCCGGTCATGGCTAGCGAGCTTTGGACCGACATGCCTGATCGGTATCCCGAGTCCACGCGCTCAACTTCCTTGGTAATGAGGCCCGATGCCACGGTGCTGGCACCGGCACATCCGTATCCTTCAATTGAAGCGCCGAGGAGACCTAGGTCGCCCATCTCTTCTAGGATTCCGCGGTCATAATCCTCGTTGCGGTAGGCCTCTGCAAGGGATCACTGGCATCAGCTCACCATTTCATAATAAACGCAACGTAAATAGATTAGGCATACCCAAAACCCGGGGTGCAAGCTTATCCTGGCAGTATTGGCGTGCTGTATCCTGGATTGCCAGTTCCTCCTCGGTGAACAGCTCCGCTGCGGCAAGGGGATCTTCCCAGTTGAAGACGGCCGAGGAGGCGTACCGGCAGCCTGTCAAGGAGATAGGACCAGCCAGAATCGACCGCACAGCTGCGCGAAGAAGTGGTCGGTTCATCGTGGCTAATACCAAGAAGAGACACAATTGTACAGGGTGAAGAGAACAACAAGGTGACAATAAATGCGGGGGAGCTCAACCAAACATGCACTAAAGACGGAGATCTCGGCAGTTTTGCAGGTTCGGGGTAAATGAGACCACCGAGTGCAATATACCAGAAATGATAGAATTACAATATCAACAGTAACTCAAGTCTTTGTTATAATCCAGGCCATTGTGATCAGGCCATTTTGATTCGACAAAAAATCCCGAGCAGTGGCTGTTTAGTTTCGCATCTTCAACCGACTCGGACTTTTTCGGTCCATCTCGATGCCAAGCACCGAGATATACCCTCGACCGGCAGGTCTCTGCATATGATCAACAGTTGCTGTACTTTTGTGGCCTGCTTTGGGATGTGGCAATCTTTTTTGAAGAGGGTATGCTTTGGGGATTACTCAACAGCATAGGGATCATTGGAAAGAAATTTAAAAAAAGTCATCGTTAGCGATCCAAGAGCTAGAGATGAAACGGCACCCAAGCTAAAGTAGCTATGCGACAAATATCGCCAACAACAACCGCTAGCTCACAGGCCCGTTTATCCATTCATACAAACTGGTCAGTGTCATTCATCGGAGACATGGTAAATCTTTGTGTGGAGGTATAGCTCGTCTTAATCAATAGTTCACTTTAAACATATATATCTAGTATCCTTAGTCCCCTGCAACAACTGTGGTTGCTAATCATGGGCCGTTAGTTATGTATATACCAAGAGAAAAATTAAGGGAAAGCATTCCAAGTCCCAGGTAGATCACGCTGGCATCTGACTCTGAAGGAAGTCAAACACCCCTGTAGGGAAATATTCCTCGTCGAAGCCCCACAGATCGGCCATCATAGGGTCAACCGAGCCCTCCGATAGACCAGGTTCCTGTTTTTCTGGGGTCAGAGAAGGTT